TTCTGTTTTGGTGGTGTCTATAGTTGCTTGAATGATAGGTAGAATGCTATCCCATAACTGGCGGTGGTACGCGCCCATAGCGGCCTGATAATTAGCAACCCTCATAATAAATGATGTAAGGGAATAGAGCCATCTTCTGAGAATGTCAAGTTTTCTTCCTTCTCGGTTGGTAGGGGCGATGGATGATTTGTTGTGTGCTCTTGATTGATTGGATTCTACGATGATAGAATTTGGTGTGGGATGTTTAGAGAGGAAAACTGTGTCTGGGCCGTGAGTCATATAATGATTTTCTATGTGCTGTGAAATTTGAAGTGAAGAGGGAGGTTTGTCCCATGATTCTTTAACTAAGTCGTGCATAGCTGGAATAAAACTCAAACTAAGAGGTGGTATTTTATCCTGATTAAGGTAATCGAAGACCATAACCTTTTTCTGAGACAGTGGCTCCTCGATGTCGAATTGTAAAGATTTTGCCATTTGCACAACCAACTGGGAATAAGATGTAAAATCTTCTGATAGGAATGGAGGGTGGTTTTCGCCAACATCAGGAGGAGTAGGAAGATTAGAGGGTGATTCGTGGGACATACCGGATGTAGAATCTTGAAAGAGATTGTGAAGATGACTGGTGTGGTGGTTTGGTCACCGATGTCAATGGTAGGGATGGTAGAGGCATTGACACTGGACGTTGTTCAGTGTCAGGAGGGGGAGGCCCTTTGTAGGTGGTAGTAACATGAAGAGAGGTGTGATGTTGAGAGTGCTTGGCTCGCTTGGGTTGCAGTTGAGATTCTGGTACCGGAAGAGTACGTTTAAGGGCCAATTTTGCAGGGATCGACATACGGTGAGTTGGTATAGGGTAAGCTGAGGTTGAACGGCGTTGATGTCGTGGTAGTGAAGGTGATATGGAGGGTGAATATCTTGGTGAAGAAGCATATCTCACTCTCCTTGGTTCGTCATAATAGGCCTGTTCAGTCAGGACTTCGGAATAGTAAGGGTCGTAGTGCTGATATCGTCCTCATAATCGTCTCTGGTCGGATATGTGATGGTTCGGGATAATAGTACAATTCTCTATATTGACTTGGAGAGAGATGTCGTCTCTTCGCCCAGTGTCTTATGGGGAGAATTATGAGACAACTCAGATCCAGAAACCTGAATAGGTATTGCCCGCCCTGATGATCGAGGGCTTGAATGGGCCGAGGCTGGGCTGAGTGAGCATCAGCCAGAGATAGACCAGTACTCGGCGAGAGGCTAGCAATGGAGGCTGCAGCCTGAGCCGGTAGTATGGCTGGGTCATCTCTGACCAGATTGAACCAAGGGCATCTCTAGATCACTCCTCAAGAATGGGTGAAGGAATAACCAGTTGAGGTGGATCAATCTGAGTTGATTTTGTAGGCTTTTTAGTTTTCTTAGTCTTATCTTTTTCTCAGACAAGTCATCGAGATGGGTTGGAGCTTTCCACGTGGAGGTTGAGCTCAACTTTGAAGCGGATTTCGAAGGGTCCCTTTGTTGAGGTGGTAGAGTCGGGCTCGATACCGAGCAAGCGGTTTCTCGGCATAGTTTCAAAGTGTGCTTAGTGAGCTTCTTGCACTCGGGGTAGGAGTGCATTTGGTGTTGTACCCTTAAGCAAAAAAGGCAACGGTTGTGACCGTCTGTAAGTGGGATCTTGTTCATGCAGAGCATGCACTGCTTGAAAGACCCTGGGGGCCCCATAAAAGTAGAGGAAAAGGGAAGGGAAAGGTGGCAATGGGGGGGGGGAGAAAAACGCAGGAAGAGAAGAAAAAACAGAATGAGAAATTCAAAAAGAAATGGCTAATTTACAGGGGAACGTCTGATAAAAGAGATGATTAAAAATATAAAAGAAATGATTGAAATAGTTGATTTGATCTAAGTACTCGCTCTAGTGTTCTGCAATACGTCCAACTGAAGCGGCGGTCAAAAGGAACTGAGGGGACTCTGGGAAGACAGAGCATGCGCTCCACGGGGGAACACCCTACTAATCTACATGTCTTTAAGCTCTAGAAAGTTCTGAGATGTCTTGCGCAGGCTCTGAACAAACAAAATTGTGTGCATGCACAGAGGCCACAAAGAAGAAGAATATATTTATTATATTTAAATTCCATTTTGCATGCATTCATCTAACTTCAAAGAGGTTAGGCTGTTTAGAAATGTCTAGAGAAGAAAATGATTTAGAAGTAAATAAACAGAGGAAAAAAATCTAATTTACAAAGGAAGTAATAAAATGCAGCTTTCATGGCTTGATGTGTCTCAGGATCAACACTGTAATAGTGCCACTGTATCATTACAGCTGACTTATTATTAATTTCTCTTCAAAGCAAAGCAAAGTGTGCTGCTTATATACCGCCCCATAGCGCTTCAAGCGCTCTCTGGGCGGTTTACAAGTTAGTTATGCAGGCTACACATTGGCCCCCCCGAGAGCGGGGTACTCATTTTACTGACCTCGGAAGGATAGAAGGCTGAGTCAACCTTGAGCCGGCTACCTCGGATTGAACCCCAGGCCGTGAGCACAGTTTTGGCTGCAGTACAGTGGTTTAACCACTGCGCCACGAGGCTCTGTAACATTGTATAGTGATATTTATTCACTGTGTATGACAATGCATGTATTATATTATCTTAAAAGCTGTAATAATATAATTGGAAAAAATGAGTGCCATTAATGTAAAAGACAGAAGTGTGGCTGTGTTATTATCAATACCCATTTATTCAAATGAGACTTGTGTCTGAGAAGGTGCTTATGGATTGTTCTCTAGCCTAATCTTATTTCCTAAAATATGTATTAGGGTCGGAAATATTAATATGCTCCAGTTAAAATATGGTTGTATGGTCTGAGTAAAGGCTATAGGCAGAGGGACAGAGTAGCCATTCTGCTTTTTTAGACATATTGTCTATGACTTAATTTTTTTTACAGCTTATTGTAATCAGCCTTGCACTTCTCTTAAGCTTACTGGCTCCTGGTTTGGAAACACACATCTCCATAATTCATAATACCAGTCACAAATATAGGGCCAGCATTAAGATCTGATGGTTCACCTCTGGCTCTACATGTCCCCACCTTACTTGCAGCCATGCCCTCATGCAAGTCCTAGGTGGGGAAAAGTAAACAGACAGTACCTCCCATCTTCCTACCAATGTTTCATGAACAGAAGGAAATTAAGTGGGTAGGTGGGAGGGACAAGGAGGAGTACGTTTTGGAGGCATGTAGATGAGGCGCCCTAGAATAAGGGAGAGATTGGATCCTGTTGTGCTCCCATTTCCTATATTGTAATTTGGAGTGAACAAAATCTCCTGGGCTCATACACTAAGTTCAGATATAGAAGCTTTGCTCGTATGTCAGCTGGTAAGATCAATTGGATTGGCAAGCATAATGGGCACAGCTTTCCTGACGGTAATCCTATGTTTGCAACTTCCGTTCCAATTGAAATATATAAAGCCCTATCAATTCAGGACTTTGAGTAGGGGTTAAAGACTTAATTGTTCCATGTTAATAAGGGAGACTCTTACAAAAGATATCATGGTGCTGCTCCCTGAATCATTTAAAAACATTTCAAGCTGATAATGATATAATACTGTGATATCATTACTGTTATTATAACACTGGTTGTAATTGCATTATACTTTCGTTTAACTAGTGGCTTTTGGTAAACTGTACTTTTGTGTTTTGTGGTATTATTTTGTATATATTGCATACTTATGTTTTTACATAAAACACCTTAACGTTGCAACAAAGGAACAAATAAATATGTGGATAAATAAGGTTGAAATAGGCCAATCTATTTTCTGAGATTTAGAGGGAATGTTTTTCGTTTTTAAATTCAATTACAGGCCTATCAAGGAGGTAAAATTCAACCCAATATCACTAAAAACAGATGACTGACATTGTAGAAAGAGTCGCAGACTTCCTTGATACTATTGTTAGGAGACAAACCATTATTCTTTTATGGATGTCCAACACTTTCCTGCCCTCTTGATGCCTATATGTAGTTACCTGACAAACCACCATGACTATGTCCAATTTCTACTTATGCCAATAAAGGTTTTTATCTATCACTAAAAGCATGTTCAAAGATTTGTCTGAATATCTTGGAATAACATAATTTTGGAGAGCTGTTTTATTTGCAATAGCATACTAACCACAGTACGCCCTACTGCTCTACCTGTTGATTATTCTTCTGTGGACAATCTTTAAAATGATTATTCTTTCTGCACAATCTTTAAGGAACTCAGACATTTTTTGCTTTAAAGTTGATTTCATTTCATGCTTTGCTATTGCCTTCAGATGATCCCAAGATGCTTTACATCGTTTCTCCATTTGACATAAGTTGTCCCGAAGTTGCTCAAAGTCAACCTGAAAAGAAGGGGAGAAATGATAAAGTATCATTTCTAAAGTATCTATTTAAAAATACCCTGTGCGATCTATGAAAGCATCTTACTTTTCCTAATTATCTTCATTCAGGGGACTGATGATCATTTGATTTCTCTTACACAATGCAACAGCAAGAGGCATCATGTTAGCTCCACGAGAGGTTAAATTAACTGTCTGCTTGTGCTTGCAAGTTTTATTTACTGAGTTCAATCCGTATTGCCCCTCTTGAAGAAGTGAACCACACTTGTGTAAAATAATACCTTTCCAAATTCAAAGTCTTATGTCAACACATTTTCTTTGCTTCAGGTTAAACTTAATATGGAGGAAGCCAATAAATCCCTTAATAAAGTAAATGAGATGAGGATTCTCATGTTCATTAATCATAAAAGGTGTTTCAATAGCAGAGTTCTACAGTCTAGCTTATTGTTAAAACCAAGAAGATCCGTGTGATTTCACTGCACACTCAGTGGAAACAGCAGGTTCACTTCTTTCCTTTGGATGTGTCATTATAGTAGGAAAGTGTGGCATTTACCCTTATTACGTTAAATAAGTCAGGCATTATTCATGTTTTATGCTGATGTTGTTGAGAGGTGGAGCCACTAGAAATGTTAAAAGGTGGAGCCAGAGAGGAGGAGTTTAGTTTACAGTCTGAATCTGAGTTTGAAGGGAGAGGGAGAGACAGTTAGTTTGGTAATCTGAGAAGTGATTAGTCTGAGGAGAGAATAATAACCTGTAAGATAATACAGAAGAATCTTATTGATACTTGATGAACCTGAAAAAGATACTTATGAATTATTATAGAAACATCTGTAATCAATAAATCTGCTTTTTCAAAAGACAGTGATGAATGGACCTTCATCTTTCCTAAGAAAAGTATATTGATAAAAAAAAAATCATAACTGTGGCAGCATGTGACAAAGTGTTTGGCTTGCCTTTGCGTGCTCTGTTGTGGGGTGTCAAACAGGGGCCATGAGGGGCAAACATCACAATTGGTGTCCAGCAGCGGGATACGAAGGAATCCAGTAAAGCCTGAGTTTAAAGTGAATTTTTTGTGTGTCAAGGATACCTTTTAGACAGAGGTCTGTGATGAAGAAGTAGGTTACCTGCTAGAGCTTTTGGGAAAAGCTTAGTGGCGGGGCTTCTGAAACCAGATCTGGGGGACTGAGATAGGGAACAACTCTGAAGGAAAAATGCCTCAGGGACAGAAGGTGATCTAAGCTACCAAGATTTTGAAAAATGAAAATTACAACAGGAATTTAAATTGAAGGAATAAGAAATTAGAGAAAAGGCTAGGGCCAAGGAAAAGGCTAAGGAGCTAGAGCTCAAGGAATTAGAAATTAGAGAAAAAGCCAGAGCTGAGCAAGAGGCCAGACAAATGGCATTTGAGCAAGAAAATAGACAAAGAGAAATTGAATTAAAACAAATGGAATTGAGACAAAGAGAAATGGAATTTCAATCACAGACAAAACAAATAGAATTAACTTCTCAAAATAACAATAACAATAACACTAGTGAGGGAAATCTCTCAAAGATTGATCTAAAGAAACTTCCCCAATATAGAAAAGGTGACTGCCCAGAATCTTTCCTCATTTCCTTTGAATGTGCTTGCTGGGACTTTAATGTGAAGGATGAAGAAAGGATGATAGTGCTAAGATCCCAGATAAGTGGAGATTTAGCTGAGCTGTATTCACAGATGCCTCTGGAGCAGGCTAGAGATTTTGAAGCTTACAAAAAATTGTATTTTCTAGATTTGATTATCAATGCAGAACACCTGAGGTGAAAATTTCTTTCCCTGACCAAAAAGCCTGAGGAATCTTATTCTCAGCTAGGGGCTAAACTGCTGCAATGTTTGGAGAAGTGGATGGAACGTAAAAATGTCACTTCTCCTGAGCAGATAAAAAATGTGATTGGGTTGGAACAATTTTATTCTATTTTGCCTGGGGAACTGTGTTATTTAATCAAGGACAAAAATCCCAAAAATATATTAGAAGCAGGTGAAACAGCTGATTACATTGGGGAGATTTAAAACCACAAGTTCTCTGAGGTAAATTTTAACAAGCAGAACTGGAACAACAATAAGAAACCCTTTAATAAAAATTCCCTCAGCAAAGCAACAGGAAAAGAAGGCCAGGGTAGTACTTTACCTAAATTAGCATGGCCTAGTTCTCAGACCCAAATGAACCCTGAGGAAAAGTTAAAGTTGAACAGATCGCCTCAGAGTGAGCGAAGAAGACAGTGTTATAACTGTGGAGAGTTTGGTCATTTATAATTTAATTGTATGAAAACTAAACTTGGGAATGAGAAGGATAAGCAGACCAAAAAGGTTTACTGTTTAAAACCAGCTGAAGCCACTGAGAAAAGCAGTAACCAAGGTTCTGTCTCCATGGCAAATGGCATGACAGAAAATTCTGATCTGGCACTAGCCCAGGTAGTTCATTGTTTTCTAATAAAGGCAGAAGATATTTTAGTTCATAATCCTGGTGAGAGGATTCTTATTAATGGAAAGCCTCATGTAGGAGTGGTTGATATGTGTTCTAACATAACTCTGTGTCATCCTGATGTGATTCCTAAAGAACAAATTCTCCCAAACCAGACTGTTATCATCAAGGGAATAAGTTCTACTCCAGTGATTTTACCCATGGCTAAAGTGAAAATAAACTATAGGGATTTGGGATGTGGCAATCTCTGATCAAATTCCTGCACTTTGTTTTTTTAATATGTCACAAGAAGTGTAACAGTGCAATTTATATGGACAAAAGATGACAGCATAAATGTATACATAAACATGAGGCCATTTAACTCTTACAACAATACCCAACTGAGGCTGGTGCAGATGTAAGACTTGCTGTCCCTTAACAGCAATCAAAAACTTGAAAATGGACTGCATAGTCATATGCGCCTCCTTCTAGGCTTTTTCTAGGCTTAATCTGCCCTAACTGGCACTCAAAGAATCACAGAATTATAGTATTGGAAGTCTTTTCAGGGGACATCTTGTCCAGCCCTCTCCTGATGCAGAAAATCCATAATTAAAAAGCAAACCAAGCAGATGGCCAAGCAATCTCTGCTTAAAAACCCTCCAAGGAAGAAGGGACCATCAATTTCTAGGACAGTCTGATCCCTTGTTGAATAACTCTTAGTCTTAGGAAGCAGGTTCTTCCTAATATTTAGTCAAAATCACCATTCATTCCACTTCAGCATGCCTGCAGGAAGACTAATTAATCCTCATCATATCTTAATCTAGTTTTGTAATCCTGTGATACATGAGTACAATGTGGTTGGCATAAACCAGTCCTAGTATCTGCCACAGACCTCTTTAAAGTTTGTATGAATCTGGAAGTTTATTCATGGAGATACACATTTATCTTTATTGAAATGGACATTCTACAGCAATAGTTTTATTAGAAATGTGCACTGTATTTGGACAAATACCTAAACACAACTGAATTAATTGTAGCTGTGTGTTTTGAGGGAAACCACAGGGCACACCAAAGAGTCGAAAAGCATTAATGGAATGGAGCAGCACACCCATAAATCCCTCATGTTAAATTCCTACTTTACAATTTCAAGTATGAAGAAGAGAAGAAATACTGAGAAAGATGTTGAGTTGATGGCAAAAGGAAGAGCAGAGTATGCTCCTTATATTACAAATGCATCTTTCTTGCATTTCCTACAAGATCCAAGTAATTGTTTAACTAATCAAAATCGATACTGTAGCTGCAGCATCACTAAGTCCAGATTCAGGGAAATGAAAGGCAGAGAGAAAGGACATCAATTCAAAGAGGCACAGGCTCCCTGCTTTCCCTTTGCAAGAATGAATGACTGTACCCTTTGAAAATCTCTCATTCAGTCCCTTCCCAGTGGCTGCCTTAGGAAGCTGATGGGGGCTTTCTCTTGGTATCTGCCAAGCTGGGGGGTGGGGTGGAGAGTAAAACTGAGTTTGCAGTTCTGCAGTCTGCTACAACATGGCCAGAATCCTTTCTGTCCCGCCTGAAAAACTCCCAACTTTCTGTCCTCCCCAGGAAACTAGAGTATAGAAATACTGACAAAGACACACCTACGAAGCTTGGGTCAGGTGAAGAGAGATGCACATCTCTAAATTTTGTAGCTAGCATTTTCCAGAGTGTCCTTTGAGTCAGTGCTACTCAAGAAGTCAAAATAATTTCATGGCTCAAAGCCATGAGTAGTATTTTTCCAGTAAAAACTGGAATCCTATACTATCCTACTTAGAACTAAGCCTCTCTGAATGCACTGTGGCTTACTTCTGAGTATACACATAAAGGAGAGTTCTGTAAGTATGGGCACATCATTCATGCCCCACGTTATGGCTTCCCAAAAGCACACTGAGTAATATGAAGCACTTGGCAAATGTACTTCCAGACTTTTCATTTTTTAAAGGTCTGATGCACTTGCCAGTCTGATGATGGAATTTTTCCTACCTCACTTTAAAATACAATTCATTTCTTGGCTTGAAAGGAAACAGTAAATAATGTTAAAAAATGAAGTCCTTTCAAGTTCCTGACTCATCTAGAAAACGAGGACATATTTGCTCAATAGTATATGTGCTTAAGGACAACATTTGGCCAATGCTGGCATAGATATTTTTCAAGCAGCATCTAAATGTGAAGGATCTGCTTTCTGCTGAGATTTAGAGCCAATTTGGACATTATGGAGCCACAAAAGCAATTTAAGACCACAAAAAGACAATTATCCTTGGTCAGACTTACAGGAAGGTTTGGTGGGTAAAACAGCTGCTTAGCTCTTTCCTTTCACATTATTTTTCAGGTGCATTTTTCAGGAGCAGGGATGAGGTAAAGAGTGAGAGCAGGAAAAAAGGGATACCCAGATTAAGTAAAGGCTGAGCATGTGGAAGCTCTGCTTAAGGGTTTCTTTGGCTTGAATGCCACAGTGTTTACCTATGAAAGTTGGAAGTGTGCAAGAACAGGCACAACCTGTATCTGATCATCATGGCTTAACAGTAAGGC